GAGGGTTCAACGTGTCACCCGGGAACCTGAGCCTCGTGGGGATGTAGCCAGGAGCGAGCGTGAGTTTGACACAGTCGAGGTGGACAGGAGAATTCGGCAGGAACAAGAGCGGAAAGAACCTACACTAGGCACTAAATATTTATTTGAAGGTGAAAGTAGAGACGAGAAGAGCTTCTACCAGACCGTAGAGTTGGATACAAAGGGCCTCCGCCTCGCAGGAGAGCCGGACACCATTTCAGACTTGAGCATACGCTATCTCCCGGATGAACCAGATGTACGGCCAGATGTGAAGGTCCTCCCAGAGCCTTGTGAGCCGCACACCGTCGCATACTTGGTCCATGTGATCCAGAAGCTAAATGATCCCGAAGCTGTCACCTACGAAATTGTCTGTCGCCAGCCCCAGCACTCTGGACAGACAGTTTATGTGAGGAAATGCTACGGGTCACCCCGGCCTTCAGTAGTGCCGTGCGAAGGCAGTAGCCCCCAGGAGCCAGAACGCAGGGAAGACGAGAGCAAATCAGGGGAACCTGAGGAGCCTGAACCCGTGCAGTGTGTGCCAGAAGCGGCGCCGGGCAAGAGCAGCAGCCAGCAGCCTGCAGCTTCCAGTCCCGAGGGAAGAAAAGGGGACCTCAACGAGCCACAGGAGCTGCAAGACAGAGAAGGCTCCTGTGAGCAGGAGAGGGCTGAAACAGAAGTGAAGGAAGAAGGGCAGCAGGAACCACAAGCAGAGAGCATTAAGGATGAACCCGCTCCACCACGCAAGGAACCCGGAGAGGACGGGACGAACAACCAGCGTCCAAGGACGCCTGAGCCCAGTGCGGAGCCGCAGAAGGGATCAAAAGCCAGCGTGGAGCGTGTCCCGAGGGCACCCGAGTCCAGCTGTCACCCAGCGCCAGGGGACGAAGACAGCCAGGCTCAGTGGCAGGAAGGAGAATCGCCCCAGCGGGAGGAAGGGCAGCAGGAAAACCAGCGTGCAGAGGGGGAGGCCGAGCGCAGCCAGGAGCCAGAGGACCAGGGGAAGGCTCCAGAGCCGCAGGAAAGCGAAGGGCAAAAGGCACCCGCAGGCAAATCGGGGCAGGGAGCTGCGGAGAAGACCCGTCCGCAGCCACGCGCAGGGGAGGAAAGCGGCCGCCGGGAGCAGGGTG